AATTATGTCGAAGTTTGGCGAGAAATCGCCAAAGGTAGTCAAACTTGGCATCCATTTGTCGACATTTTGGTGCGGATCTTGTATAACTCTAATTGGTACTGTAACTGAATAACTATAATTGATGACTACATGTAAATATAACCGTAATCCAGCCCCAGGTTTAAACTATATGCTTTATAGTTATGCTTATAGCAATTTCGAGAAATGGAAGGTACTAGGGATTTCTCGGTGACCGGGAGAAACCTATATAAGAGTTGAGAGTAGTGCATCTGCTCTCAGCAGTTGATTTGAAGTTGAGTTCAGAGTGTTGAGAGATCTCTGTGCAACCTTCTAGTGGAAGTTCTTTTAGATGTGCTTTCATTGTGCTGTGTTTAAATTTCTTAGTAGTTTGAAGTGTAACTGTTGCGTTTACTCTCTGATACTGAAAAATGCTGTAAGAGTACTTTTGTGGAAAGTTACAGAACTGTAAAGGGTTCTTTTTGTGGAAATAAATTCTATCACGCTATCATCGGTTCTGTATGCATTCATTCCGTTACGAACACCTACGTACGAAACAGATTGATGTAAAAGAATCTGAGTACCATTATCTATCTACATTCTGAAATCGAATTTTGATAAAATCTGGGTTACATCCCCTCCAGAATACAGAAATACATCCTTGTAACGTGGAGAGATTAGGATATTGGAAGTACGAAAGATGAAAAATAGGCAACGCCTTCGCCGGGAATCGAATCACGGACCTCTGGAATACGCGCCCAGCGTGCAGACCACCACTCCACGAAGGCAGGCCAAGAAGGCGGGAGAAATATCTTATAGTATAACTCATCCCAGTTATTCCACTCTTCACATATTTTCTGAAATCTATTCATTACATATGCCTAGCATTCTGTATGTCCTCGAATGAACCACAAGGAGAATCAATGCTAATCCTCTGAATTGAAGCAATAGTCTTCAGAGTAGAGAGCATCTAATTCTCGAAGAACGAAAATGTCGGAAAAAAGGTAGAAAGACATCAATAGCATTTTTGTACTGATATAATTCGGTGAAGTATATTTTGAACTCAGGACTTGCTTTTCAGAACATGCTCTAAATGATGTCGTTTATTGTGATGCCTTAAACTGTTCGAAAGAGCATGCTTTTTCACAAAACATCTGAGCAACCCAAAGATGAAATTTGATTGCTTCACTGTAACAACGCGCCAAATACCAACCATTTGAAACTTTAGAATATTTTTATAGATTTTAGGTGAAAATTGACAGTCAGAATTGAGTTTTATCTTTCGTAATTGCCAAATTTGGAGCTGTGTGAGGTAATGTTTCCGTTTCTTTAAGTTAAAAGTTAAATAAAAAAAAAATTCCCTCCTTTTATTCTGGCAAAAAAAAAAAAAAAAAAAAAAAAAAAAAAAAAGGAAAAAGAAAAGAAAAAGCAAAATTCTAGGCAATTTTACAAATACGGAAAGAAAATGTTTTGAAGTACAGGTAAGTAAAAATAAATTCAGGTAAGTTATAAAAGTTTGTTTCAGTTTTTCAGTTTATCTTAATTTTAATCAAACTATTGCCGCTCATATATAATAACTTTAGCTAATAAAATATTGAAAGAATTAATGAATTTATTTTTTAGATATAACAGGTCACATCCATTCAAACAGCCTCTTTATTTTATACTTCATATACTCCATTCTTCCATTTACAATAACCAAGGATGCATATTGTAAGCATTGACACTATATGTAATGCTAATTATCACTGAAAATTTCTATTTTGGTCAAAAATTGAACCCATATAATTGAAACCGTCTGCTATGACTGCCGAATATTTCCAGATATCTTTCTCCTAGATATTTCTTTCCCATTCACAAAAGACAGTCTTTTAGGAAACGGAAAAATGTTGGCTCATATTTTTCTGCACATACCTTAAACTAACTTTTAAAAGGTTTCTCAAAGTATTTTATATAAATTCAACGTATAGAAATCCCTAGGTTAAAAATTAGTTTCATTACAGATCTAAATGAATAAAAAGCGCTTTTAAGTTTTTTTTTTTTTTTTTTTTTTTTTTTTTTTTTTTTTTTGTTTTTTTTTTTTTTTTTTTTTTTTTTTGCATTACTCATTAGAAACAAGAGCCTAAAATGTAAAATTCTTCCCATGATAAAGTTGTACGGAAATGTAAATATGATCTTGATTATTTTCATTCTTATATTTGTTTTTAGGTATTTCACTTTTATGTTATTTTATTTATTTATTTACTTATTCATGGTTTCATTAATTATATTTTTTTATTTTTAAAATTTTTAAAATTTTTTATTTTTATTTTATTTATTTTATTTATTTATTTATTTTTATTTAATTAATTAATTTATTTATTTTTATCTTTATTTGATATCAATGACATGCAGTGTTTCGTTTTTTAGATAAACAACGGCAGAAAATTAATACATTGCTTTTAAAAAATCAAGGCTAGCACTACAAATAAAATTCGTATTTTTCTTTTATATAGAAGAATATATATTTATATAAAAACTCATAAGTACAACAATGTTTTACATCATCATTTCAAAATATCTGATGTGGACATCACATGACTTCCTTTTACGCCCTCTTACATTTTGCATATTTTACGCAGCATTTCATTTAAATTTTTTCCTGAATTTCATTAGAGATATATTTCTCATTCAATCAATTCAATACTCACTTCGCAGCGAAGCAAAATACGTAAAATCTCAAACCATCTTCATTAAATATTGAAAAGTGCAGATAAACCTAAAACAGCAAATACAGCTAAAAATAGTTCAAAAAACCATTTTTAGAAATGAAATTAAATTTTCTACACAAAAAGAAGCAATTTGGCCAGCGGGCAGGAAGACAGATTTCTTGATGTATAAAATTGAAAGTTTACTTTTGGCCCATCGGCAAAAAGGTATTGGAGGTGGTGCACAAACTGACTTAATTACCTACTCTACTAAGAGTTTCAAATGTAAACTACTGGCGGGCACTTTAGGCTTAGCACTGCTTAAACAACTTTTAAATTGTTGATAAGTCTACAATTATTGCACGCAGATTAACGGAAGGCATAAGAATCACATAGTTAAATCACCTTTAAAAATGTGCAATTTACCAATATATAAGAATAAAAACACTGAGCTGGGTAAAAGAGTGGGTACACATAAATAAAACAAATACACAAATAAAAAAGTAATTATTTCAAGAATTTTCGCTCAATATGCTGCAGAAAAGTGATCAGAAAAACAAAGAAATGAATTTAGAACTAATTTTTCACAAAGACCAAAAAATTACATTCAAATACATTTCCAAAGGTACTATAAATAAAGAATTAGAGTAATGCAGAGGTAAAAAAAATAAATAAACCATAAGAAGAAAAGCAAAAACAAAGGAAATGAAAAATAGCATCATGAAAAAAGAAGAGGATTTCAATCAAACCCAGAATAACGTCACCAAAAGGAGGTACAATGAAATTAATCGCAACTCCTTTTCCATAAAACAATTCTTGCTTTTCTGTGCCCAGAATTAGCTGATAAACCATTTTATATATTTTAAAAATTTTAATAGTTTACCCCAAAATTCTGACCTTCCCCAAACCAAGAAAACTGGCAAAATGGAAAGTAAAATCATTAATGAAATTTGTTCCTAATTAATATGAATTTTCCAGAATGAAAACTTACCCAACATACGTAGAAGAAATATTTATACGAAAACTTTTTTTAAACTGAGAATAATGCACAATGAACCAAAAATGTTTCGACACAAAGCTGTGTGAGAAACTCCTTTCAAGCATTAGTTCTAAACAAAACAAAGCCGTTAGAATCTGAGACGCTCAATATTTACCAGTTTGGTGCAGCTGATTGCAACCCAAAAATATTTCCAGATATCTTTCTCCTAGATATTTCTTTCCCATTCACAAAAGACAGTCTTTTAGGAACGGAAAAATGTTGGCTCTATTTTCTGCACATACCTTAACTAACTTTAAAAGGTTCTCAAAGATTTATATAAATTCAACGTATAGAAATCCTAGGTTAAAAATAGTTTCATTACAGATCTAAATGAATAAAAAGCGCATACTCATTAGAAACAAGAGCCTAAAATGTAAAATTCTTCCATGATAAAGTTGTACGGAAATAAAATATGATCTTGATTTTTTCATTTTATATTTGTTTTAGTATTTCCTTTTTATGTTATTTATTTATTTATTTTATTCATGGTTTCATTAATTATATATTTTTTTATTTTTAAAATTTTTAAAATTTTTATTTTTATTTTATTTATTTATTTATTATTTATTTTATTAATTTTTAATTTATTTATTTTATCTTTATTTGAGATCAATGACATGCAGTGTTTCGTTTTTTAGATAAACAACGGCAGAAAATTAACTACGTATAACTATAATCGTTCTATATACAAATTTTCAACGTTCTGAGGCTACTCATTTTTGAGTTACGCGAGATATATACGTACCTACGTAAAGACGCCATATAAAACAAATAAAATGAAAAAAAAAAAAAAAAAAAAAACCTCTTCTGAATTTATTTTAAATCTGTCCGTTTTGAAAAAAGAGTATGTTATTCTGTCCGTATATGCAAATGTCACGCAAAAACAAGAGTGGTCAAAATAAACATTTTCGCTGAAATATGATACTCGAAATTGTTGGCGTTTACAATATTTTTTACTTTGCGCAAAGGAAGTAGAAAAAGGAACTTACGTAATCTTTTTATAACGATCTGTATTATTTTATTGCTACAATTTAAATTTGACAGATTTTACCAGGGCTTTTGTAGATTTAGTGTCTCTCCATGTTAAATAAGGACAATAAAAACATTTCCGTTATATTATATAAATATGGCTAGATTTAAATCTAATATATTCTACAATAAAGACATTCGTTTTAAACTGTATAAATTTGATTATGTTTAAATCTGAGCATTCGTTAAGTTTGCTTGATGTTATAAAAAGGGAATATGCAATTTAACAAAAGGTTTCAAGTACGTACCATGCACTTTAAGATGTACGACTTTGCTCAGTCCAGATCCGACATCATTAGTGGCTTGGCACATGTAATCCCCGTTGTCATCTTTAGAGGCCTCTTTGATGATCAAGGAACCATTTTCCAAGATTTGAACATTTTCGTTGCTAATGATCACTTGAAACTGACTCTTGGAGCCCTCTGCAAAGAGATGAGAAAAGAGGAAGACGTTTTATTCATCTTTTGAATGGAGCTTGATTTTTCATGATTTTGAATAATATTCTCAGCAAAAGGGAATTGCTCTCATAATATGAGCCATAACAATACGCTGAATGATATCTTAAAAAGAAATAATAATAATATTAAAAAACAAATATATATATTTTTGAAAAGGAGCTGTTAGTATTTGTATGGAAATAAAAAAAAATAAAAAAAAAAAAAAAAAAAAAAAAAAAAAAAGATAAATAAATAAAAAAAATGCATTATGCAAAATCGAAATTGGACAAAGAATTCTGAATCTGAAATGTTATGAAAGGATGCGTCAAAACTCGCATTATTTATTTAAATACAATGCATCCTTTTCTAAATTATATCGGAAGATGTTTGAATGTTAAATTTGATGAAAATAAGGGAGACGGAAATAGTTAAAATCGAATTTACGTTAAGCGCTGAATTTGGTCCTGAAGTAGTATGAAAATGAATTTTCAAACGTTTAATCATTTCCGAAAAGGATTAACAAAAGAAAAGTAATCAAAATTTTAAAATGCAATACATAACTAAATTTTACCATTTATTGTTCATAGGAAATGTTCGCAGGTAAACATGTTAAAAAGGTTGTTATATTACATTAAATTTAAATCATAATGTCACACGCGGACCTGAAGTGTAAAGAGATTTTATTTCCTGTTTTGGCAACAAATTTATTTATGAATTGTTTGTTGCGTGGAAAGCATCAAATCATTGCATTCATATTGATATGTTTTAATCAATTTTGTTTTCAGGCGTACATAAAACTGATAAATCTCATCTACTCATCTGGCGATTTTGCCCGCTAGTAAATAATAATTTCTTTCTGTTTATTCTGTTTTGCTGTTTATTTTCTTTCTGTTATTGATTTTAAATTTAAATAATGACATCATAAGTATTAACCTGAAGTGTCAAATGGTTTTGTTCCCTGGTTTGGCAACAAACAAATTATTTACGAATTGGATGTTGCTTGGAAAGAAAAAAATCATTTCATTTATATTGAAATGTGTTTATACATTTTCTATTCAAGTGCACATAATACATAAAAGTTTTGTTTTGGACGCAGCCCCATCATCTGGTAGGCTTGTCTGCTAGTATTATGTAAAATTTGAGCTATTTTATCCAAAAATTGAAGTGTGCTCGGAATAAATTTTCTGACAGATGTGGAACCGAAGAAACACCATTTGCACGTTTGATTTGGAAATACATTTCAGAAGCTTCTAAAATATCTAAATTTGACGTTTAAAATTAAAGTTATGATTTTTTCCCAACAATAAAGTGTTAATATAGCGTTTCAAATTCCTTATTTTAAAAAATTCGGAACAAATGCATTTATCCTAAACATGAAAGACCTGCCTATCTGTCTTTATACGCAAAGCCACATTAATTAATAGCCATTTTACCCTGAGAACCTGAGTTACTGTCTTTATATGCGAAGCCACATGAAAAAATAGTCATATTAATATCCTCTACATCAAGATCGTTAATTTCGCCTTAGACACCTCGTTAAAAAGAAAGTCAAAGATCTTAGATTCCGTCAAGTTTTAAAAATAAATGATAAAAACATATACATTTTACACATGGCTTTCTTGTACGGAATATTTAATTATACACAATTTTTCCTGCATTTCATTTAACTTTATTTCCTCAATTTGAGTAGAGATATATTTCTTATTTAAGTAATTCAGTTCTCTCTTCGCGGAAAGGCAAAAATACAGGATGGTTATAATCAAAGTGACCTTATTCATACGCCTCTAGAACCTTTTTATTTATTGAATTTTGATGAAATTTGGTATATATGTTATATGGAATATGGAGAAACAATTTTTGAAAAAAAATAATTCATAATCATGTTCTTCAAAAAATTGTTCGACTTGGGCCGTTTTCACTATCCCTTTAAACGACGATATTCAGGCAACAAAGCTACTACTGTCGATCTGATAAAACAGTTTTACCAGTAAAGCTCAATCTCTCTCTTCTGTAAGGGCATGATTAACGATGACAAAGGCACACAGAATGATTTTCTGGCTCTGACTGCAAGGCTCTTTATAGGTCTGACAAATTTGCATAACTAATTTTTGAAAATTGCCCTCTGCTTTTCAAAATTTGAACTTTTGTTTTATTTCAGAAATCTTTAACCTATGTACCAAGTTTCATCAATAGCAAAACATAAAGCACCAAATACAGTTATTATTACTGGAATACAGTTATTATTACCAAAAACAATTATTTATTTATTTATTTATTTTACATTTAAAAATAGAGTTTCGATACAAAAAAGCAATTCGGTCAGCGGGAGAGAAAGCAGATTTTTTGGTGCACAAAATTAAAAGTTTCCTTTTGGACCCACTCAGCAAAAAGACATTGAAGGTGCAGAAAGACTTAATTCATTATTCTGCTAAGTTTGAAATGTAAACAGATATGGCTGCTACAGTAAGCTATGCTGCAAATTAGCAATGCTATAATGCAATGCATGCTATACCATGCTATACCATGCTATACCATGCTATACCACGCTATACCATGCTATACCATGCTATACCATGCTATACTATGCTATGCTATGTAAGCTATTGCTATGCTGCAAATTAGGCTTAGCCGCATTTAAACAACTTTTAAATTGATGATAATTCTACAACTGCTGCATGCAGATTAACTAAAGGCATAAAACCTTAACCGGATGATAAGAACAACTTAATTCAAACATTTTTCAAGCAAAAATGCCCAATTTACCATAATATAAGAATAAAAATCACTGAGCTCACGAAACCGAGCAACAGAGTCGACATATTATATATATAATATACTGTTGGTGCTGCTGATTGCAGCCAAAAACGGAGGTGCACACTTGCATGTTATTCCAGTCTTATATATAAAATTTCAACGTTCTAAGGTTACTCGTTTTTGAGGTATCTCAGATACATACCTACATACGTACGTATGTAAGGACGCACGGAAAAATCTCCTCTGAATCCATTTGAAATCAATCTTACAATTCGTTTGGGTAGAAAAGAGTAATTTATTATGTCCCTACGTACAGATGTCGCACAAAAACATCTTTAAGTTGCATTAAATAGCGCTCAAAATGGATACATTCGGTGAAATGTGATACCTGGAATTTTTCGTGATTTACTTCGTACTTCCTTTACTTCGTACACGGGAGTAAAAAATCTGATGTGTACACCACATGACTTCCTTGTACGTAATATTAAATTATACGCATTTTTTCTTCCATTTCATTTAAACTTATTGGATTGAATTAAATCTACTTCGCCGACAGCGCATAAACCACAATAAAATAAATGCATTCTTTAAAATTCACTCTATTTGTTTACCATAGCGACACTCTGGCGCTAGATTCACTTAACAGTGTTATATTTCTTTCATATTATAACTCAGAATGCACAAAATTTATATCATTTAAAGAATTATCTAATCGTTGCCAGATGTTCTATTCAAATACTATAATAAAGCTAGAACTATGTATAAAAGAAATGAAGCAAACAAAACAAAAAAGAAACCGTTTTTCACAGACGATTGAGTACTTCTCATTCAATTAATTCAGTTCTTACTTCGCGACAAGGCAAAAATACATAAAAAGTCAAAATATCTGTATTAAAAATTTACGAAGTAAATCTTCAACACTTATTTCCTCGAAAACATTCCAGAAAGGATTAAGCATGATTTAATTGGCAATAATAAATGAAGGCTTTATCTTTGTTGGTGCGAAGCTAAGTTTCTCTAGATTGGCAACAAATCACTAGTCTGCTGTTTCAAATGTAACAAGCAAATGGCGCGCATCAAAAACATATTAGGCTTAGCGGAACTTTAAAATTGTTGCTAATTCTAAAAATATTGCAACAGATTTACTAAAGGCATAAAAACCTTAACCGGAAGATAAGAGCAAACATAATTCAATCATTTTTAAAGCAAAAAATGTACAATTTACAAACATATAAGAGTAAAGAAACTGAGATCACTGAGCCGGGTAACAGAGTGGATTATATATATAAATATATTTATATACGTTTGGTACGGCCTATTGCAACCAAAATACGAGGTGCACATCTACATGTATTAGCAGTCCTATATACAAAATTTCAACGTTCTGAGGCTACTCGTTTTTGAGTTATGCGAGATAAGTACGTAGTACGTACGTACATACGTTCGTACAGACGCCCCGAAAATACTCTTCAGAATTTTTATTAAAGCAGTTTTATAATTTTTTTTCGAGGAAACGAGTCTTTTATTCTGTCCTTACGTACAGATATCACGCAAGAACATCGTTAAATTTCATTCGATAGCGGTCAAAATGGATATTTTCGTTGAAATATGCTGCCTGAAACTTTTCGCTATTACAATACTTCCTTTTTACTTCGTACAAGGATGTAAAAAGGCTTATAATCCCTAACATACCTCATTTTAAACATAGAAATATTAATTGATAAGTTCAAGTTTTGATAATTGGCGTAGCATGGGTAAGCGTAATAACGCCAGTGGAAATTATATTGCAGAAAAAAAAAAGTAGTTTTTTGGCGGTGGAGGAAGGGCTTCCGATTTATCGCTTACATCTTTAAAATATTAAATTCTAAAATAGATTTTTATGTTTATAAATATTATGAATCATACATTTCTTTCAGTCATTTTCTGCGATCTTGTTTTCGAAGAACTTTGATTTCCTATTTGTCATTTTTTTTGTCCTAATGAGGCTGGTATTTGAGCCTAAATGAAATTTTATTGTTTGTTGTTAGGTATAAAATAATGTCCAATGGAAATAAGTATTTCCTGTTCATAATTTAAACAATTTTTCATTTAACATTGCGTTACTCGTCAGGTAAGCAATTTTATATTATTATAAAGTCATAAGTAAAATGTTATAACAAATAATAATATGTAGACTGATAAATTTGTATTCAATTTGCTGTGCTCATTCATATCCGCAAAAATAAAATCTG